ATCACTTGCATCGCCCCATCTGGGTTCATCACGTGACGTGAATAAGGATACAGACGTGGCTCTTGAGGTCATTGCGCAGGCCTCTTCTCACCAGGTCGTAGGCCTCCTCCTTCTTACCCAGACAGTTCAGGGTTAATCCCTTCATCGCCAGGGTCTCTGCAGGAAGACACGACAGACAGTGAGAAACACGGAGCAGATTCACCAAAGGACTTTGTCATCCATCTTTCCGTCTGTATATCTGCTGCCTACCTCCATGCTCTGCAAACTTGGGGTTGGACAGAATTTGCTTGCAGAACTTTAATCCATTTCTGTACTGCTTGTGTTCATAACATCGCTGTCGGGTGGAAAAGGAAAAAGAAACCACATTAAGCCAAAAGAACATCATATTCAATCATCCAATGAAGCTGATTTGCACTGTAGTGCTGAGAACATTCATCCTGGAGCCGACGGCCTTGTCCAAACTCAGAGCAGATGCCTCAACTAGGACCAGGAGGAGCGCTGTCACGGTAACTGCCGTTTGTTGTCCGATACATTGCACCAAAATTAATTGTGATAAACAGGATTATTGTCATTTTCAGACAGATATTTAGACAATAGAATGGGGAAAAAATATATCCTAGTTAAATAAATCTATAATGAATACACCTTTGTTAAAGTGCGGGAGACACCGGGGCTTCGCATGATGCGTTAGGTTTCGAGAAAATGTTTTAACCAAATATAGTGATTCACAATTACGCTGTTGTTTGAAAATAACAAATATATCAACACAAGAGTAAAATTGCCACGATTACACTTGTTTGTGATCTATAGCTATTGACTGAAAGCTGATACACGGGAACAGAAAGGGAACCACATGAATGAATAATGCAGTCTTTGTAAGTCAGCAGTTTCAAAGTTCTAGTCCAAAATACAGAGCGGGTTATAGTTGTTCACCATTAATGAGAGGAATACAAAAGTACAACATTACCAGATAATACACCAACAACGATCCAAAATATTGATCAGCATCCTGCTAACAACAGCCAAGCTTACATGTTACTAGTTTAACTGAGTCGGACACACTTTGTATTAAAACCACTATGGAAGGAATTACCAGCCTTCTGCCGCATAGTTATATTTAGTATGTAGTGGCACAAAACAGAAAACCACCTCTCCTTTTAAGCTGATCTCTGTGTGTGTGAGTGAGTGAGTGAGAGAGACAACTAGGAAGAGTTAAGCTGGCAGGTGGCATTTTGTTGTCCCACCCTCAACTTCACCCAGTGTTTCCCCAAACGTAATAATATAACAAAAAAGGATAGCCGTCATACACATTCATTCAAATTACTCCATTTTACACTAATTATTTCCTTCAATTGGGATTATCAGTACTTATTATCAGCCACTCAAGTAATTCATTACATTTTTGTTAATTGATAGAATGCAGTTCACAGTATCTTTGCATCAGTGTTGAATCTATTTACAGATATTGTCACGGGTACACGGCGGTTATTCTAAACGTACCAAAAAGAATCCTAATATTTCATGCTTTGATGGGGACATAATGGGACCTGTAGGAGCTGCCTGGAAAAGCACGTCGGTGTGCTTTCCCTTTCAGATGCGTTTGTGCACAGCAGTCATACTATTGTGATAAGCCATTTCCAACGTATAGACAACAACATTACAGGGTCTCTGTTTGAAATACTTCTGTGCTTCAGAGGATTTTGATGGTGATGCACCTTTAATGAGCCATATTGTTAAACTCATTTTTTTTTTTGAATGTTGTTGGTTTTGTTTATGGAAGTTTCATCAACATCATTTTAACTGCAAAAGTTGTGGTAAAGTATTAAAATGTCAGCAAATTAGGAAATATTTCTTTGGTTTTAACGAACTGACTTTACCCTGGTTGAAGTTTTGACATTAAGTAGCTTTCCTCCGGCCTGATAATGCACCTCAAACACTTGACCGTGTCCCAATTCAGCGGACACGTCCTTCAAAGGCTACAACCTCGTACGCGTGCAAACGCTGGCCCAAACACCACACCAACATCTTTTGTTTTAGGAGCGTGATGGTAGTAAACAAACTGTATAATTCAGGTAAATTTAGCAACATTAATACCACCGGCTGTGCTTAACATCCAAAATGTTCCATTTGTCAGAGCGCCGGCCCGGAGCTGCGAGGAGTGGGAACATTAGGCTGGATTTTATACAATTTTACCAACTACTGATGCCAAAAACTCCTTCTGTTGGAAGGAAGGTGTTTTGTTTTACATTAGTGACGGGCTTCTTTATTATGTAATAATAGTGCAAAATATGTAAGGAATCGGGGGGGGCACGGTTTGTCTACCATTATATAGGGGAGCTGATGGGTAAACTTGGTTGTGCAACTTAGTGATTCTTACTTACTAATGGACACATAATTTATGGGTCGCAGGACCCATACACTTCTAAACACCAAATACTACCCATAATGCATCTGAACAGGCATGGATAAACACATGCACTCAGTCTTTAATTCACCGAACCCGTCCAACAGTAATGGGCGCTGCACAAAAACTCCTCTTGAATGTGGGCGAGTTGCTGCAAGTATCCGAGGAAGCAAATACCTGGAAGTCCAGTTTGACAAATAACATCAATTAGTCAGGGTCAACTTTATTTTTTCTACAGTTAAACTTTTCCTTGAACATGTGTTAGTATTTTTTTTGTCGCTCTGCCTGCGACAGTTTTAATACTAAAAAAAGAAGAATTGTTTTTAGGGATATTAATTTCCCTGCACGCTTAAATGCACCACAAAAGGTTTTCACTTCAGAACAAGACAGCAATAAAGCATGGATGAAATGTTTTCTATTTCTGGTCCATGTTCAAGTTTAAAGATAACAGTGAGGAAAAGTACACCCCCCCCCCCCCCATGACAACAGAACAAAACAGAAACTCAGCTAATTCTAGTGCCAAGCAAAAGTTGGAGACCTGCCACCTTCCAATAAAGCGTTTGGGCACTCAGTGTGGGAAAAAGCCCAAATAAGTAGGGGTGCGGTCCACTTCTGGCTGCAGGGAGACGACTGTTTAAAATCTAATTTCTCATCACCAGTGCAGAAAGGGCAATCAATGACAGTAACTTAATTTTCATGTTTTCTGATGAAATGATTTCAGACCTCCGAACTAGGAACAGGAACTATAAAAGGTCACTTCACTTTATTATGGACAAGAGTTGAACGGTGTTTAGCATTAAACCGATAAATGCCTTCCAAACACAAATCTGAGATTTTGAATAAAAAGCTGAAACAAAGACCACCGGAAGACTGTTGAACCTGCAGTACTAACGTATACTTTAAAATAGTACACACGCTTTAAACTAATTAAAACAACTTGGTCACAACTTAGTAGCCATGGTAGAGACGCCCTTCCTATGCATTATCACCCAACACAAAACAGCGACGTAACCAGTTACACACATTCTGCATCTTTCTTCAACTTAGTGGTCAATTCGACAAGTGCGCGTGTGATCAGGAAAACCTCATTTCCTTCCAAAACAACCAACGTTAACAATGCAGCGCCGATGCAATGATTTTGAGGTATGAGGTATGCAGCAAACACGGGCACTGACTCTAAGATCAGGTGCGGGTCACAGGTCGTGCCAGAGGAAAAGTGGGTTAATGCTGATGAACAGCCCAGCACGGACCACGCTTCCCATCACAATGACGGTTATCTGAACTAGTCAGTGACGTCAGCCTGGTTCCTGCCAACCGAGCGGTTCTCCACGCAGCTCCTGTAAAGTGTGTAACTATTAGATGTGCTTGCAGAGATGTTCAACAGCAAACACTCACAGCCAGCAAGTACGATCACAAGCTTTTTAAAAAAAAGCAGACTTTATTATTTTTTTTAATCTTGCAAACTACACAAATTTCCATAACTTTGATACTGTGTGCAAACAGTAAATAAGTATCGGGACGACACGGGTCCCTGGCAGGGACGGACGGGTGGGTTGAACGAAGGCCTGAAGCGGCTAACATCAACGTTACAGATTTGCTGACACGGTCACACCGGTCCGTCCCTCGCGTTATCCACACAGGCTAACGATACCACTTAAACCGGATCCAACCCACACCGCCGATTTGAATTTAGCTAATGACTACGAACAGGTTCCATACAGGCGGGTTTGTTCTCTGACATGTATAACGCCTGTCGGGTTAGCGTTAGCCGGCTAGCTAACGTCAAACGGCCGGCCAGGGTGATGGACTCCCATAGCCGCTTAGCTCGGCCCGCGTCTCGACCCAAATCAAACGTTCACTCAAGTTGCGGTAGAAACACCTGCTGTGCATTCAGATGCTTACAAGCAAACCGCAAAAGTGGTCACACAACGTTACAGTAGCTCGCTACAAGAGTTACACGAGCGTTACACTGGCTACACATCGTGCCACCTAGCATGAAGTTATCGGTTGTTGTGTTTAAGGAGCGCAGCGGCCCATCGCGAATAAGCCAGTCTGGTTATTTAAAGTACCGATTGCCGATTTGCGGGTAGTGGTTCTGCATTTCAAACACTTTGAACGCGATCGGAACCGAGTAAAAGGACACCCATTTGGCCTTTAATCCCCGGTGACAGCGCATGTCAGAGCCGGGCTAGCTAGCCCATTCAATGATGCCATTTTGCTAACACACGGACGCTAACGCTAGCAGCCGGGGAGCTACACCGACACCGACACACACACACACCGAGACATACACACGAACACAGCGCCGCCGACGGAGCTTTCAACCCGCCGAGTCTGTGCAACTCTTTAGCAAGCAACTCACCAAAATCCTCTTGAAGAGAGCGTTCTCTTTCGGCGGTAGAGTAACTGTCGGCATTGTCGCAGATGAGATCAGTTTCCCCCCCTCGACCTCAGCACATGTAGCTAAAGTTAGCCCGGGTAGTCAAGACGAGTAGAGTTGAGTGATGGCTCGGGTTCGCCCGCCTCTGCCGCTCCGCTCGATTGCTCCGTCCTCTTTCCTCGCTCGCTTCCTCCTCACGTGGTGGTTCCAACACTTTTCAAAATGGCGGCGGCTGTCCGTGACATCCATGCTTCAGGCAGCCGTCGTCTGGAAGATGGTTTGCTCTCGTTCAACATTATCGGAAGTAGGTTTATTATCTCTGTATTGAAAAGGCTAGAAACGTACATGTTGTAATGTTTGCACTGTTCACACTTGGTCCTCGCGCCAGAAATCTCCTTCAATGAAGATTTAAAGTGAACACACAAATACTCTCACCTTCAGGAGGTGAAGGTGAAACGCACCTTCTAGTGTTTAACTTTGACTCTACATCCTTTTGCACATTAGAAGTCCAACGCTGAAGTAAGGTAACGATAAGCAAAATATTTGTGGTATTGGTTTAGTTTAGACCAGTTCACTACCTATTTACAAATGTGTAATTTGCACTACTATGGTACTATTCAGGGGAATTTTAGCAAGGCATACAAATACTGAGGCATACAAGCGGTCATTCAGTTGACAGGTTCATGTAAGGCCCTTTTTACTGCCCCCCTCGTGGTATTTGTCCATCCATGTGTTCTTAAGGTCCAAAACTACAGCCTCAAGGCACCGCTATCAAGGTTTTAGTCCTTCTATTTCGAAATGTGTTTGAAAGTAGATAGCACGGGAATACCAACCACTGCAAAAAACGCTGACTTTTTTTACGATGACTACATTTTGTGAATTAAAGCCTACTAATTGATGTACGGCTTTGGTCACATCAGGAACGACAACCTCAATACCTCACCACAATACACCAACATTGTCTCGCTGTCTCCGTCATGTTGTCTTTGATGTCGACCAAAGTTCACTCATAAATTATCTAAGTTTATGAAAGTTTCACTTCAATCAACACTTTTTGACCATCTTTTTTGCCTAACTTAATTACTTCCATTTAGTTAAGAGATTCACGATAATGATGCAAAAAGAATGGTCTACTGAAGAGGCTCTGCTAGCCAACATTTTGGTCATAAACTAGTCAATTTACCATACATTTCTTTTCAAACTCTATAATCGCTGCATCCTACACTTCCCACAATGCAACACTATGACATATTTTGGTTCAACGCTCCATACAGATAAACACCCGTGTCTTTCCAACTCTATTTGGAGAGTTTGCAACAAGGCTTTCTGTTATGCGATCCAAAACCAACCCTGCTGACATCACCACGAAAACATCAAGGTCAGGGATTTAAGAGAAAACCTGAGCCACAGAGGACCTGCAACCCACGTGACTCATGTGGAAAATGGGTGGAGTGCAGCAGTAATTAGTGTGTTCATTTGAATACCTTCACTGCAGCACACTTATGGGCGATGTTATCATTTTAAGACTTAGTTAGCAGGATGGAGCTGTCCTCAGTTCCTACTAGCGTCCTCTAGAGGGCGCTCTATTGAAAGGAAAGAGTTTGAACCACATGTGCTCAATTCGTTTATTATCATTAGTAAAAAAGGCGACTGCGCAACTTCTAAGTTGCGAGAGAGAGAGTAGACAGTTCAGTAATCATTTGCGTGTGTGAATCTCTGAGTGTGTGTGTGTGTGTGTGTGTGTGTATTGAACACAGTACACATGCAGTTTATCTTAAACAAACTGGGAAAGCCTACAGAGCACTTAGGCCTACAGTTATGTACTTTGCATCGATGGAACAGAAAGATGTGTGCAGTGTGTGTGTGTGTGAGAGAGAGATTTTCACGGGTTTTATTCATGGTGTGAGGCAGCTAAGGCTTTGCTCCGCTGTTATCTGGTGGCCTCCTAGTCGTCCTCCACCACAATGGCTCCTGCTACCACATTCATCAACTTGACACCACACACACACACGCACACTTTCTCCCTCTCACTCCACACTATCGTATCCCCTGTTGTCTCTTCCCCCCCCTCCCCCATATGTCTTTCCACTTCACATTTCTCCAGCTACATTTCTTCACCTTATTACTCCCTGCGAGGGAGAATGATTCTTCCAACTCATCCTCCACTCTTTGTGACACATCATTTGTCGTTTTGATTAGAGCCCATAACAGTGCCTCAGGAGCATGTGCAAAGCTAACGATGTGTGTGTGTGTGTGTGTGTGTGTGTGTACATGTTTTGGCTACAGGAGGAAAATAGCTGTCATTAACTTGGACTTGTGGCTGGCTTGTCGTCTGCATTTGCTGATGATCTCCTGAGCGCTGACGACCAATAAAAACAGCTCTGCGTTCCCCGGCCCCCAAAACGTCGGCTCCCTATATTTCTACGAACCCATGTTGAATATCCACGTTTCTGAACCAAAATACGGTTTACATCAGCCCCGTGTCCGTGCTTTCAGAAAAGCAAGTGAAAAGTCAGTCTTTACTTTTTGTGGTTTCACACAACAAGCAGCGTTCTCCCGAGTGAAAGTCCTGTGTTTGTTACACACCCCACAACAACAACAACAACAACAGTGGACACAAAGTGGATGGAAAGACACCTGCAAACAGATTACGGGTGACTGCCTGCACGTACGAGACGGTGCTATGGACGTGGTTGCCGTGGAACATCTGGTCTCATCTATTAGCTAGCGTATTACTTTTTTAGATCAATTTTATTATTTACTTAAATTACTTGTGGTCATTTTGTCCACCACTTAAAAACAGTTCAGCGTCAGCCTTAGCGTTGCTTTTATGTATTGTTATACATCGTCTTGGTTAAAAAAAAAAAAAGTTTGGGAACATTTGTCCAAACCTTTCACTGGTAATGTATGTAAATTACTTACTGAAATGAGCAGCATATTTGGGGGGAAATGAAATAGTGGATAATTACTGCCGTTGTGCTTTGACTGGATTGCGGATGTAAAACGTGCGTTTGCATCGTCCGTGCTGCTGTCAGTATCAACAGTTGTCCTTCTTTCTCACACCATGAACAGAAAAGGTTAAGGTCTGTGCTTGGAGGTGGATGGTGCCAAACGCTACCCAACTGCAGCCTCCCCCCTCCATCTTCCTCCTGTCCTCCATCCTCCCTCTTCCCCCCCCCCCTCTGTCCTAGGAGGTGTCGCTACGGAACATGAGTAATGATGTTGTCATCTCTGTCAGTCTCCATTTATCAATGTCAAATGGGAAGCAGGATTGCGGTGCATGTGTGTGTGTGTGTGTGTGAAGGTGGTGCTGGTGGGTTCTGGGGGAGGGGGGTGTAGAGAGGGGAGGAGAAAATACGCAGCTAGTTCGAGGAGAAAAGAAAGATGTGGCAGGAATGTGAAGAGAAATGGTAGAGGAAGGTGGCCACGATGAAGAGGAGAGGCGAGGAAAAGGGGCGTGGCCGAGAGAGGACGAGGAGAAGTGAGTTTGAGAAGGACGAGTCACAACAAAAAGGCCCCGCGTGAGATCTCTCTCCGTCCGTCCGTCCGTCCGTCTGCTGACGCCAACAGGGAGCCCATGATTCATCGTCACCATCACTGCCAGACAGAATTAAGGCGCTGCTCTTTAGCATATGCAAGTCTAATTATGCAAATCGGGGCCGGTGGACCAAACAGCAGTGCAGCAGCTAGTCCGTCTGCGTTTAGGCGCTATGCGGATGTTTGTGCGTGTGCATTCGTCCCCATCAGTCCTGCGACCCTGGAATGACTCTCTTGTCCGCTAACAGGGTCATTTTGAGGTGTATTTGAGAAGAAAGTATACCGAAATGTACAATAACAAACTTAGCGATTGATGAAATTCATAACATTTAAAAAAAATTAAATAAATAACAAAACATACTTTGTTTGTCCTTATTATGCCGTGTCCATGGATCTGCAGAGCATCAATTGTTCCAGGGTTTTAAGGCTGTATAATATGTGGCAAGCTCAACCACAAACACTATTGGCTCAACAAAGTGAGCACAACTTGTAAGTAAAATCTAACTTTTGTCACAGAGCTACAACTGCCAGAGTATTGTGCTGTGCAGCGGTACAGCGTCACTGTCTACAGTTCGCTCGCTACATCTGCCTTTCATTGATGGTCTCTGGTCTTCAAAGGACGACGATTGACGAAATATATCGTGTCAAGGATGTCACATAATGTCCACGGTTTTCTTTTAATGTTGACCTAAACTACAAGCTTTCAAGTAGCCAACTTTGTTGACATCAACTTACAAAATTGAGATGGTTTCATGAATAAATGTTATGTATTCATGTCTGCATTCAAAAATGAACCCATCAAACAACAGAAACGTTCATTTAATATGATCAGCGAGAACAGTCTCTCTTTATTGTATCTTTTTGAAAAACAAAGGGAAAAAAAAAAGTCTTTTGTAATTCTCTTTTGTTAACATTTCGGAATTCTGTACAGGATAAAAAGAAATAAACGCTGCTTTAGGACAGAGTCAAATCTCAAACTAGAAAAAAACAAATGAAAAAAATTCCAAAAAAGAAAGGAGGTTTACAATACAAATTAGTAGTAAGACATTGTCTGAAGTGCAATGGCGTAGCTCAGATGGGTTAAACGTGAAACAAAAAAACTTAAAAATAAAAATACTTCTCTATTTTTCAACAAACAGTAAATTCTTTACAGGGTAGAGACTGTATCATCTGGTGTATTTAAACCTGTAAAAACATATTTACAAATATCCATTATCTTTTATATACTTTTTCTCATAATCACATATATGTCAGCACCAGTAAAAAAAAAGAAATAAAACAAAGAACATCAACAACAACAATTTTTGTTAAAATGTTGTCTACAGACTTGGTCCCGGTACATAATGATATTTGGAGGAAGCTCCCATTCTCTTCCTGAAGGAATTTAAAACCATATCATGAACTTCGAAGACAAAAAGGTCACAAAGGCCGTGACCTTAACACTGACCCAGAGGTGTTTCCCCACCTTCCCGCCTCCTCTGCGGAGAGGTAAAGATCAGGTGCTTTTCCTCCATCTCACTGGAAGCATGAGCAGCAGGAGCCATCGAAGCTGTGAGCGCTCTACCGTGTTTCCCCCAGAAGAGTAAAGACACCAACTGTATGTTTCAACAGCTCAGCCTGATGCCGTTGGGCGGTGCTACGTCCCTCAACCTGCCGTTGACCTCCACCGAGTGGGACGGAGGACTTCTGCTCCCCAAACATGGTGCTACCGCCCGCAGCAACGCTCACAGGACGACGGGCGTGTTGGTTAAAGTTTGTATTTAAAGGGTTGGGTTATACAACATCGACGACCACGGGAACAAGTGTTTCGATGGCAAGGAGTTAGTTCACAGACAAGAAGGCTTTTTGGTTTGTTGATTACAGCGTCGTCTTCCAAACGTTCCCTCCGATGAGCTAAATACAAAGTAATGCAAGTACAAACACGCGTTCGCTCGTCTTTTAACCGAGATTACAAAACAGTTAGAGGAGTGAGGTGTTGTCTCACCGACGACTACAGTATTAAAACACATATTTATTACGTAACCATTAGGGCAGAAGATCGGACAGCTTGGGGGGGTTGGTGAATGAAAGTTTACAGTTTGGCGAAATAAGCTCAAAGAATGGGAGACACTGATAACACTGGGGTTTTTTATGCTCTAACTGTCGTTGCCCTTCTCTACTGTCTACAGAGCAAACTCCAGGCTCAGCAGTGGTCCATTTCCTTGTGAAGCGCTGGAAGAGGAGAACTCGTGTTTCTTCACAGTAGTGTTACAGTACAGCACAACTACGTTCTAGTTTGGAGCGAGGGCGTTTTACACGACGTAAAGCAGGTACGGCGACGGACAGTCCAGCCGCGGCAGGGAAGGTGGTGCTGCGAGACGGGAGGACAAACTCATTTTCAAGAAGACCATAGAAACTAAAAGAAGGCTAACCTTTTTCTTCTTTTTAAAAAAAACAAACACTTTTGATTGACAGAGACACAACCAGTATCATTGTTAGAGATAAAACAAAGCAACAAAAACAAAAAAAGTGGGTGTGGGCTTTCAATGAGCTTTTTTTTTTTTCCTTAAAAAGAAGAAGTCACTTGCGGTGCTTGAATACATTCAGTGCCCAGCAATGGTTTTGCTTTGTGTCAGCCTGATGCGCGTGATGTGGTTTCTGTCACTTAATGCAATATTAGCTCCAGAAGCTGTCACACATTCGCTCACCCTCCCAGGCCGACGCCTCTATGTGTGTTTCTATGTTTGTGTGCATGAGCTTTTGAGTCCAAGTGCTTTAGCTGCCTATTCTCTCCCTCTCTCTCTGCTTTTCACCCTCTTTGTCTTCCTCTTCATGTCTACCCGTTATCCACATCCATGCACAGGAAATGAAACCCCCCCTAAAAAACACCACCGATGTCGGTTGCCTAGCAAAATTACTGGAGGGCGCTTCTGTGGCACAGTAGATGAACATCATTTGTTCTGTTGTGATGTTTCGAATTTAAACAGAGAAAGGAGTGTTGAGAGCGAGGAACGAGTCTCTGGAGAGAGGGTGGGAAAGGCGGGAGAAGAGACGGTGAAGAAGGATGGGAGGCAGAGACGGAGAGAGAGACAGATCAAGTGAAGAGAGCGCAAAGGCAACAGATTTGTGCGTGCGTGCGTGTGTGTGTGTGCGTCATGGATATGGGAGGCACAAATCTAAGAGAGGAAATGGGAGCGCTGAGAGTGCTTTCTCGTCCCCTCAGCTCCTCGCATAGTTGAGAGATCTGAAGCACTGAGCTGGGTGCCACAAGCACACAAACACAAATAAATTGCTGTCTCGAGAACTTGTCTTCCTTTCCCTTCATCGGTCTGCGGGTTCTATCAGCGCCTGCTGAAGCTCAGGCTCAAAGCACTGCTGTGTAAACGCCGCTCGCTTTCAAACACTTGAGAAAAAAGGGAAACAAATGAAACATATCTCTTAATCTCTATATTGGTTTTTCATTTATATGCACGAGACACAATGATCGCTCTCTCATTACACACACACACACACACACACACACACAAAACATAACACAATAACTCATGTATAATCTTGCTCATGTTTAACAAAACAAAAACATGCCAGTCCAGATCATGTCATCGTTTTTGTTTTACTTTCTCAGGTTTTAACATTTGTCCTACTTTAATGTTTAGTTCATCCAGTAAAAACTCATCTCCAGTTTCCCCGTTGGCTATTGGTTCGAGAAGAACTCCTCCATCCAACCATCGCTTGAGTCCAGTTCCGCCCCTGAGCCGTCGCCCAATCCGAAGGCCCCTCCCCCTGAGGGCCCGCCCCCATATCCGTACGATGACATGTCTTGATTGGCTGTCCTCTGGTAGCCCGGTGGCTGACCTCCAACCCCAACTCCCCCTGGTCCATAGGGTCCTCCTCCCCCCGCCCCTATTCCAGGCCCCCCAGGGCCCGGCCCGAATACCCCCATACCAGTCATCCCCTGGCCCATCATCCCCTGGTTCATTCCCTGGTTCATGACCATGGGCCGGGGCTGGTTGGTCCTGGGCTGACCGCCCATGTGAGGTCCCATCATTGGGCCTCCCATGCCGGCCTGCTGGATTGCCCACTCTGGGGTCCATCCCCTGGCTCATACCCTGGCCCGGACCCTGAAAGTGTTGCTTGGCCATGCGCGGGGGCGGACCCGGCTGCATCCCGTAACCCTGCGTTGAGCTGAACCCCACCAGGTCTCCTCCGCCTCCCCCTGTAGTCCTTCCGATTCCTCCGCCCATGACCTGCAGACTCTGTCCTTGCTGCTGCTGCGGCCAGCCACCCGCCGCCATGGCCCCGCCTCCTCCTCCTGCTCCCAGCATGCTTTGCAGTCTCTGTGATTGGGCTTTGGCGCTGGGAGGACCTTTGAGGGGTTGCTGTGTCATGGAGTTCATTAACATCCCCGGTGCTCCGTAGCCTCCGGCTCCCCCACCTCCAGGCATACCTCCGACCCCGGGACCTGCCTGCCGGGGGGGCCCGCCGGCAGGGTTGTGCTGTGGTGGAAGACCCATGGCTTGGACACTTTGGCTCTGGTGCTGCTGCTGCTGCTGCTGCTGCTGGTGGATCATTTGGCTCATAGATGGGTTGAGCCCATACAGGGAACCTTGGTTGGACCCCTGGTTGCTGTAGGGTAGGCCCATCTCAGTTTGGGGTCCCACAGAGCCCCCCTGTCCCTGAACAGAGCTCATCTGGACCATTTGCTGGTTCTGCTGCTGCTGTTGTAGGAGACGGGCGGCCCGAAGGTTCTGGAGAGCCTGGCTTCTGGATGCCAGATCTTGAGGAGGACCTAAGAGAGAAGAACCGGAGGAGTCAAAACCAATGGAGACGGGAACGAGTGAAACAGGCTTATGGAGGCAAGAGGCCGAAAAGAGCCAGATCGGATCCCAAATAGCAGGACTAATTAAAGTCAGTGCTGAGGCAAATATTTATGTTTGTAAAAAACAGACCATTTTTTTCCCTCCCAGTTTCGTCATAATCTTACCAGGCTCATTTAAAACTTAACACAGCCGGCATCTCACTTCCACAATTCTTTTCCTTTCAGTCCCTGAGTAGTGGTAGAGCTGCCTGCTAGCGTGGAAATGACTTCACATCCCTCAATTAACCCTCCTTTGACGTCGTTCTACCGATCCCTCACCTCACAGTTTGGACTGGAACAGTAACAGAGGCGTCAGAACAAGAGTGTCACTCACTCTCAACGTGTAAGTAGGTACACAAAAGCCACACTTCACTATGTTAATAATAAGTATAGTGAGGATGATTGAGTTCTGATTGCAGGTAATCATTAGAGCAATCATTGCTTTTATCACTGACGCACTGCTCGATAGCAAAACTATATTTCTGGGCCACAGTTTGATTCTGAAGCTCCGTCTTCCTCTGCGTATTATTTCCTGGTCTTGCAGACAGACTCTCTCATTGCTATAAATGGCTTTGGACTTGACTCTCCTTCTCGCTCAGTGTATTTCTATTAATCTCTCCGTCATCATCTCATCTACTATTAACCTCTCCATCATCACCTCATCTTCCTCCCCGTCTTTCTTTCTCTTCCTAATATCTCTTTCTACCCAGCGGATCATCTACCTATTCCTCTTGCCGCCAGCCTCCCACCTTTCTCCTCCCCCTTTCCCACTTCCCTCCTCTCATCCATCTCTCCGACTTCACCGGAACTCTGGGGGATCCAGGACAGACAAGTTGCCGTGGTAACAGGCTGAGCGCGAGTCTTGTATTTTCCTTCCTTCTTTTTTGTAGAGAGCGAGGAGGAGGAGAGACAGAGAGAGAGGAAGAGGCTAAAGAGCATCTGAGCTCCAACTGATGTAACTGACAGACAGTGAGGCGAGGTTCGGTTTCAGGGTGATGCTCAGTCAGCTGTTTGCGTGTGTGTTTTTGTCTGTGTAACCATCCGGATGTTCTTCAAATATACAAATGCAATAAATACAATGCTGAGGAATTTTGGTCAGGTATTGCCTTATTTATTAAGATAAGACCTATTGGGTTACTGCACATTCTGTGGTGCTTTGTTTCATAGACAAAATGGATACATGTTTGTGCGTCTCACCTTGGTACTGATTGACTTGAGGGTATGGATTCCTCTGGCCTTGCCCCATCTGTCTGGGGAGATGCTGCTGCTGCTGCTGTTGGAGCTGCATACGGACATACGCAATTTTTAAGAGCGGAGGTTAGTAATGAGTTATGAGCCTTCATATTTATTCATTACAATAAAGAAAGGACCGCTAAACAAAAGAGATTATATGAACACGATGAGATACTGTTGCTAAACGCACACTGACGTCTCAGCTTCAAAGCTAGTATATAAAAACGAAACTGGGCATTTGCCCAATAGAGAGGTTCATTGTGGGGAAACGTTTTGGGCTCATTTTTTTTTACCATCAAATACTCGCATTGAGACAAACGGTTTTGCACCATTACATTGTGTCCTCGGTGTGGATGCAAAAGAACACTGTCAGTCACAACTCTGACGAGTATGAATACAGGGACCACCCCATGTTTGGTAGAGTAGGGGTGTGACATCTGTTTGGCTCATACAGATGTTTTGATAGAGTAAATTGAGACAGGGAGAGTGATTTCAGGACTAGATGGGTGTACAGTATCTGGATGATGCTTTCCTGCACAAATATGAATGAAACTGAAATAGGAAACGTAAGGCAGCCATGATGCTCTATCGTAGCCATAGTTGTGGCGCATGTATAGAAAATAAAATGGAAAATACTTAATTGGCTGGGTCCTCGTCGCATAAAAAGCAGCTTATGAATGTGTTCCACCGAGAAGATGTTGCTCATTTGATACCATATGCTAAACCCCAAGCAGGAGAAGCTTCCTTTCACACACCTATATTTGTGTGTCTGTTTTTGCAGATCAGATTAAAACATAGTGGGTGGTGACTCCAGAGTTCAGAACTCTTTAACACAGAGAGAGAAATAAAACGAAAAAACCACATTATCACAGCAGGCGGCATGTGGCGAGCACACACACACATTGCAAAGATGAAAAGAAAGTAGTGAAGAGGGGGCTGGTTGAGGGCGATTATACACGCAACCAGACAACAGCAACGATGAGGAGAGGATGAGCGCCTCTTGTTAGAGCTTTAAACACACACTCATTATGCAGGAATATATGAAGAAAACACAATCAGAATTCAATGCATGACAGAGGAACCACACAGGCCGGGCCGTTTTGTTTCATCGCGCCACCATCGCACTACCATTCTGCCAACTGGCGCACTGATTCAAAGAAGGCTCACCTGCTCGGCCAGTAGTTGCTGCTGTTGCTGTTGTCTCTGCTCTCTGAAGAGCTGCTGTTTCTGCTGCTCCATCATTTGCATCTGCGCCCTCTTCTCCTGCTCCATCACCATCATCTGTTTCATCATGGCCGCTTGCTGCTGGTTGCCCACGTAGCCCGGAGGTGGTCCCGACCCCTGGTTGGGCCCCACACCCGAGGCCACGCCCCCAGCAGGGTGAGGCGGCGGGATGGCGCCCGGCGGTCGCGACATTCCCACCACACCTTGTTCCTGCAAGAGACGGATATGAGAAGGCCGCTGGTCAGATCGACTGTTGAGTGATCAATCAAGCCCGTCAAAGGATAGTTTGACACTTGTTCATCAAGTTGTGTGAGAAAGAGGTTATCACCCCGCTTCCAACAGTGGTATTGGTTTGGCTCATTTCACTTTTGGCAGGAAAGGACGTTTAACTATTGTTCGATAGTCCATTAAAATGTTTGTAATGATAAAAGGCCAGAACCAAACAAAAGGGGGGTAAATGAGCTTGCACCTAGGAAAGCCGTTCCACACTGTTCACGCTTCCTGTTTGGTGCATTTGTTACTGCTCTTTATCGCAAGTGAATGTCTGACATTGAGATCAGGTACAGAGAGAATGCAGATTCAGCGCTGCGGCCATCCACAGTGACACCTTTGCAAAGTCTGATTTGGGCACAGTAGTGAGGCATCGTGATGTATGACGACAACTCACAGCCCGGCTGTCTGGGAATGAGCGTGAAATACAAGATAAAGACGGGACTGCCTCAGGATTCAGCTCGCGCGGCCACCGGCAGCCCTCCCAACGGGGGCATCGGTCGGTCCTCGCCGCATACACGATCCGCTCATTAGCATATAAAGAGCACTTCCTCCTCCACTCAGCCGTACGCTCATCTGTAATAGGATGAAATGGGCCGCTCTGGCCAATGGGAGGGGAGCGTTTATGAATCTATTAAAAGGTTAGACCAAACGAGACTGGACATCGTTCAGGCCCGCCGGCACCAAAAGAAAAGAAGAGGGAACCATTGAGGTCAGCGAAGAGTGTTTGCACAATCAAAAAACAACAACAACAACACACAGCCACAAAAGGAACAGAAAGTGTACAACAAATCACATTTAACTGTGAGCGAGAATTAAACAGCAAGAGCAGGATTAGAGCTGATGAAAGACATCACTGTACTCAATATGTTTTCAAAGAGCCACGGCCTCATAATTTGAACGGCACCGGGGCAGAGAGGAGCAGAGAGGAGCAGAGAGGAGCAGAGAGGAGCAGAGAGGAGAAGGAGGAGGCGTAGTGTCAGAAAGTGACCAACGGGTGGCAGTGGTGATCTTTAAGCAGGCGTGTGTGTGTGTGCGTGCGTGTGTGTGTTTGAGTCTCACTGGCCCCCTCTCAGCAGATGGCTCAATCATGACGGTTCTGATCTACGATCTCTCCCTCTCCCCCACTCACTCTTTTTCTTTCTCTCTCTAAACACCCCACCATCAAACTCCTTTTTTTTCCACTCTTTCTCGTGTTCTCTCTCTTCTTCTCTGTAGACAGGGGGCCCTGAGTCATGTCCGCACAATTGCCAGGGAGCGAAGGAACGGAAGAGAGATAGATTTCAAAGGAAGGAGGAGGAGGAAAGTCTGAGAGAATTAAAGATTTTTGTGGCGGTGGTGTGTGTGTGTGTGCGTGTGTGTGTGTTGCAGTCAAGTAGCTGATTGGCACTTAAAGCTGAGGAAATTACTAAAACTAAAGCATGTATACTCTGTATTTAGTTAAATATAAGGCATGCAGAAGAGAGAAGCAAATAAAGGAAAAGATGAAAAAGAGCTGATGAATGGGAAGGAGAACCACTGGTACTTTAGTGTTATTAGTCATTTGCTGAAGCGTTGCTAATGTACACTGAATTAAATGTCACGCCCATAAAGCCTATTGAACAGAGAGCAGGTATCGTTAAACTAATAGAAGGAAAAGAAGAGCACATGTCCGAGGTAAAGAGGGAGGGCAGCATTTGAAAAGAAGAGGGGAAAAAGGGGAGAAAATCTTGCTTTGGGAGGAAACAAGGAGTCGACGAGCCAAAAGAGGAGGAGTAAAAGGTGGGCTAGAGGGGAGGAGAGCAGGTACCCTGGCAACAGTTGCTGCGGCGAGGAGCAGATGGCGCTCGGAGGAGCGGTTATGGCCGGCGCGCCTGGTCACCCCTCCACAAACACACTCATTTATTCGCCAATTTTACTTTCAACCTCTTCTCCCCGGGTTGATCGGTACATCTTTCATTCTCTCTGTCCTCTCTGTCCTAACTCATGGGTGTGCTTGAATAATGTAACAAAGAGCATCCCAAGCATCATCTGCCTCCGCCTCTCCGTCCTACCCCAGACGCTTCCTTCTGGCATCTCAGACGGGCCCGAGTCGGGCTCCAGCCCCATGCTCTTCGACAGAAATGGGTCAGCAGCTAATGGGACGCGGTGGCCGGCTCCTGACTTCAGGAGGAACAGAGTTGAACTGCATCAGTTACCAAAATTCGCAGAAATAGATCAGCGAGAAGCAGGAAGGATCAGAGCGGATACAATGAAAGGAGAGGTTAATGTATCACAGGTTGTTTTCCGGAGGACCACACGCACTGTGTGTGTGTGTGTGTGTGTGTGCGCCCGGTGGAGGCTGCCAGCGTTATTGGGTTAGGAAGCAGGGAAAGCTCAGGTGATTACATTACACGTGAAGTGAGCGGAAATGTGTATGCGCATGTGTGTGTAAGTGAGAGGATTCTCCATTTCATTCCTGAGACTCATGGAGCAGATATGAGTGCCTACCATATTTTATGTGTGTGTGTGTGTGTGTCTCTACGGGTGTTTAAAGGTGTATCTTTAAACACTAGTATGGTCGTTCACTCTCCAGTCAATATTAAATCACCTTATCCCATGGTGACCACACAGCGGCTGGCTTTAAGGCTGCACTTGATACTACCAAAACACAGACACACACACACACACACACACACACGGCAATGTGCAGTCTTGTAGTACAGTACACGCGACCGCATTCAAAGACAGATGGACAGACACATGGACTACAGCACGATGCCTTACAGTTCTACATAAAGGCTTTCGTTGAAACACGCGTGCGCACACACACACACACACACACACACACACACACACACACACGAGCGCGCACACAGAGCCTATAGGAGCAGCGGCGCCTGGCAGCAGAGTGCTGGGTGTCTGTGTGCTCTCCAGAGTGGCTCACATCTGTCACCCACTTGTGTAAGAGAAGGGGGGGGGGGGGGGATAAGAGGAGAGCAGAGAGGAAACAGAGAATGAGGGCTGGATGGATGAGCGGATGCTTCATTAGACTCTTACGCAGACTCCGGCTGCCATCAGAGCGAGAAAGTGGAGAGGAAGTACATCTGTCTGCGTTATTTTTTGGGGAGGGATTCTGCATTTGGAAGCAACACCGGATGTTGCAGCAGCTGATGTTTTGTGATGCAGATGCAAGGAGTGAGCTAGTCTGAAGGTCACAGGTTCACATGTCTTTAGCAGCTAGTGCTCATCACTATCTGAATGTCCTTGAGCTTCCCACTGGTTGACCCTGACCCCTGACCCCCGCTGGCGATGTCTTATGCAGATCAAAACGCTTTGAGAGACTGGTAGTAATCCTGAATTAATCAATGCGTTAATAACAAGTATTGACGCGTGTGGGATAAATAGGCTACTAACGTTCAGCACTAGCTACCGTAGCTAACGGCACGTTTCAATAATAAACAAGACTTCCTTCACTCTCTGACACACGGTCCGGAAGTTAGAGAAACAGAGTTAGAGAGGAAATACAGGACACGTGACCCTGACAGATGACTAAATGAATAACACGGTTATCTTGAATAAAATGACACATTTCTCAAGGTTATAAAACTGATTTCTTGTCATTGTTTGATTTTATATCTTTAAGTAATAAGACGACAGGACATGAGTCCGCCGATGCTCCCAGTGTGTCTGTGATGAACATGGTAGATGTGACGTTAGGTGAAGTTAAAGGAAAAAACCCAGGTTGTGTATTAGAGCGCACGGTTAAAACATAAGTATGCAACACCTGAGACACAACCATAACAACACATGTACAAACTAAACACATGCACACACACTAACCCCGAGCAGATGGTGGAGCCAGACCGCACAGTATCTAACTATCCCCCCAGCGCCAAAGGTAAAGACATCACTTTGACACACATGCACACACACACGCACACACCTGCACGCTCACAGTAACGAGGTTTGCTGCTAGTAAAAGGCCAGCGGTTCGATTCTTACCCACCGGTTGTGTCGAACGCGTCCACCCGCCTACTGAAACCCCCACTTCCCCTCAAACACACTCACACACTCACTTGTCCCTGGAGAGAGTTATATTTAAACTGCTGGAGAGGAGTCTTGCTCCCCACAGAGGCCTGTTTAATCTCTTAACATCTTTCTGCTCTAAACCCTAACTGGCCTATTTCTGAATGGCTCGCCCTCACTCACACTCACACACACACACACACACACACACACACACACAAATATTTAATTTAAAGGGCAATGCTCATAACCCCCCTACTGCTCAAAAACAATGGACCGGGTTGACAGGTTCTCTCGGGATCATCCTTTAACCAAAATTGAACTAATATGTTGTCATGCAAGGATGCTGGGAAATGCATGTAGGCTTGCAGGATCAATTTAAGTAAATGAATCCCTGTAGGAGGCACAGCAGCTCTGAGAAAGGCATTTCTCTACATGCCCAGCGTGCCACCCACAGACAGCACACAGCCTGGGAGGTCAGTGCGTGCTGGTTTGCGATCATCCAGTGTGACATTCCTTGAATTACAATTTACCCAAACACAAAACGCCTCATATGCACGTTTGTCTATGTAGTTACAAATACAGTAGGAACGTCATGAACGTCATTTTCACTCGATAGACTAATGACACAAAACGTATTCAAGTCACCTTAATTTCTAGCACTGTCAGCAGGTTGCAATGTACACATTGGGAATCGTTCCAATCTAATTGGACCGATTAGAGTAAAAAACTAAACCAGTGGCTATTGCCGCAGCCCAGCGTCTCACCGTGGCTCGCCAGGACGCAGCAACGCAGCCAAGACGACATTCTAAAGAGTCGCTTTTTGCTCCACATGACTTCCCTCGCATCAATGTTACTGAGGGGCGAGGCGGGGGGGGGGATAAACGGTTGCAGACAGCGAGATGTGAGGAGCGGCGAGAGGACAGACGACGGGAGTAAATCACGCTCGCGAC